AAGAAAAAGAAAATGAAGAAAGAGGATAAGAGAAAGGGAAGGTCAGAAAGGAAGAAACTTACGTGGTGGGGAGAGGAACCCATAACTCAGTTTAGAATTATTTTTATAAAATGAACATTTATGGACAGGACTAAGAGAAATTCGAAGATCCTGGTAAAGGCAGTTGGAAAAGTCTCCTGCAGAGAAATTGTCCTGAAGAACACAATGAAAAGAACCATTAAGTATCAAGCGCACAGAAGAAAAGACAGCTTTGTAAATAGTTAAAGGTGAACTGCATCATAGAATTATGGCTCTCTAGTTGTCTGCTCATTGTCTTTCACCTTTTTTCCATTTTTCTACTAGTGTATTCATCTTTTTTTTTTCTAACTGAAGTTCAAAACTCTTTACAGTATTAAGAATATTAATCATTTGTCATGTGTGTAACTTTTTTCTAATATGTTGTATTAATTTTGTTAATTTTTTTTTTCACTCAATTTCAAACTTTTATATAGGGAATTGCTGAGTTTTAGAGATCTGAGACTATCTTCCATACTGAACTACACGACTAAAAGTTTGTAGGGGAGGGGAGTAAAAAAAGACAATGAATAGCAATATAATATGAAAACCTCGGGAGTAGTGATGACTCCGAATTTTTGCAGCTTTAATTACATAAGAAAACTGAAAATTCAAACAATCAAAATACCATAATTGAAGTACTAAACAACAATAAATAGGATGGGACCTACGAAAACTGTGTAGCATGCTGTATATTACAAAGTCAAGTAAAAAAGTGTTTACTGTTTTTTTTTTAATTAAGTTTATTGGGGTAACATTGGTTAATACAACTGTTTGAATATAGTCTGAAATTTTTTAAAATCAAGTTTAAGGTAGAAATTTTATGCAAATATGTGAATGTGTGTGTATACTGTATATATATATTTTTAAATGCAGAAATTACACATATATATATAATATATATATCACTATCTTTTTATTTAACAATCTCAGTGATGTTAACAATAGTTTTGTTTTTTAAATGACTCAACCTAGTGCTCTAAAATCCTCTTTCTATCCCTTAAGGGCACCCTTTAGCTTGCCAGACACTTTCAGTTTCTGAAAATCTAGTTAGTCTAGTTTAAAACTTCAACGCCATGTATGGCTTGCCAGAAACTTTCAGTTTCTGAAAAGCTGGTCAGTCTAGTTTAAAACTTCAATTCTTATATGGTGCAAAGTGAATACTAGATTTATTGGGGAGATCACTTCGCCAGTTATATAAATGCCTAACCACTATGCTATACGCCTGAAACTAATAATAATATTGAATGTCAACTGTAATTGAAAAAAAACAAACAAACTTTGATTCCATGTAAGATCTAAATCTCATCTACTCCCTTCGTTCTCTTTTTCAAAGCCTATTTCCTTTATCATTTCTCTTCCACCAAAGCACCCAGAAGGCAGGGAGTGAGGAAAACGGTGGTCTTATTCTGGGATACTTCCCCTCACTCCTTTCAAGGCCTAACTCCTCTGGTCTGGGGGTGAACAGGATCCCAGCCTCTCTCTGGTTTGGTCTGGGAGCTTTCCTATAGATGGTGTACGCAGTGAGGTTACTGAACTTTAATGGCCTTCCCCACCAGTGAAAATCCCCTAGAAGTTGGGCAGTTGAGGGACATCCTTGTGCTCACATACTACATATTTAGAGATGAATAACTGTAACTGACTGTAAAACTCATTTCACGAGAATCATAAAATATTTAAACCAAAAAAAAAAAAAAAAAAAAAAAAACAAAAGGAAAAAACTTTCCTGCACACCCCTAT